GGCGACGTACTGCCCCATAGATGTGTTCCGAGGTCGGCTTCAAGCCGTCCGGAGCGCAGCAATAGGTCGGAACGGGCCAGACGCGCGAAGAGTGGCTCGACAGGAAGAGAGGGCGTCTTCGGGGGGGAACCTGTGGCACAAGCGGCGCAACCTGCGAGCCAAATTACGATGTCCCTATGCTGAGCAGGGACCGGCCGTCCCGGCATTCCTATAGTCATACCACGAAGTGTTCTTAGAACCCAAAACTGTTCTAAGAACAAAAACAATAAACAATATTCTTAGAACACAAACCCGATGTGATGAAACAAGACAGACTCCGCCAGAAATGTTCTAAGAACATTTCGTGGAAACCACACAAGGTTCTTCGAACAGTGTTTGGTGGGGCTATAGGCAAGCCAGGACGCTTCGCCGCTGCTTGACTATGGGAGCCCGTACGGCTGCGAGACACCGCACTGCACGCGCCTGCGAGGTGGATCCACCAGCTTTTTGGGAGGGTTGTGTTCGATGTGCTCGGCGACGCCTCGCTGGAAGCAGGCCCCCTCGACCGACGGCGCACGGATGCGAAGAAGCCTCCGCTCCTGGGTGCGTGGCTCGGGTCGGACGGAAGCAAAGAGGGGTTGGGGGCTGCGAGCGGGCGGGTGCCCTAAGATCCGATGCCCTGTTCCCCAATCAGTGCTTGCACTGAACGGGGTCCTGGCGGATAATGAAAGATTCGGCGAAAGCTTCCCGCCGATGTTGGTAGCCAGCTGGGTTCCTGAGTTCCCCGTTCCTGGTTCCCTGGTTCCTGGTTATTGGTTCCGTGCCGATTTCGGTGGGTTCCGGGTCCCCAGGTTCCCGGGTTCCCGGTCGATCTCCTTATCGATCTCTTTATCGATCCCACTACAAACCATCCACTGATTGGGCTTTTTCTATGGTCTGATTTTTTTCAATGCGGGGTCCCCGGAAGTCTTGAACCACTCCCAGGGACCAGCTTGTCATCCTGAGTCGTGCGGCTTTCTCGGAGCAGTGCGGGACCCAGAACGCTCTGAGAGAGTTCCAGAACGCTCTGGAACGGATATGCCCTCGTCCTAGCCACGTCCGAGCGCTGAGGAGGAGGAGGAAGAGGAAGAGGAGGAGGAAAAGGAGGAGGAGGAGGAGGCTGTAGGCTGTAGGCTGAAAGTGAGTCAGCGACTGCACACAAACACTGCTCGACCTCCGCAAATGCGGAAAAACGGTACAGGGTACAAGAGCTGCCCCTTGGCGTCGGACGACTCGCGGCCAAACCGAACCGACATGGTGCATTGGGGGCACGAGGCCACCCTGTCGGCACGATTGGCATTGCGCACTGGGGCCTGCCCAAAGGCCCCAGCCGTGAGTGGACACAAAGCCCGGTCGGATTTACGTGGCACATGCCACCACATCTCACGGAAAACGCAAATCCCTGAGGGCCAGACCACATGGGAATAGCCTCCCAGGCGCCTGGCTAACGCCGCCGCCAGCAGGGCAATGCTGAGGCCGAAGGCCGTGCTACACCCAACGGCGAGGCCGCGCGCAGCGCAAGTCCATCCGATACAGGTTTCGCAACGTCCACCCCCAGGCCCAGTGCCCGCTGCATCCGCACAGAGAGCTGAGGGCCGTGCTACACCCAACGACGGCAGCCTTGCGGCATCCCGCCGATACAGGTTTCACAGCGTCCACCCTCCTCTGTGGAAAAAACGACCGGTAGCCGCTCACCCTGACCGCAGATGAAATGCATCGCCCTGAACGGTCTGCCCCGAGGAAGGTGTGGCGCTGGACACCATGAGAACAGGTGCCAGGCCCCACCCTCGGGGAGGAGGAGGAGGAGGAGGAGGAGGAGGAGGAGGAGGAGGAGGAGGAGGAGGAGGGGGGGGAAGAGGAGGAGGAGGAGGAGGAGGAGGAGGAGGAGGAGGAGGAGGAGGAGGAGGAGGAGGAGGAGGGTTTTTGTTTGAGCACTTTGGCTCCCGCTGCATGCTTAAAGCACACTGTAAGTGTCTGGGAGTCAGGTTACCCCTTTCGCTTTAGGATGGAGTCCCTTACAGATCTTGTTCCAATCGTCAGAGTTGTATGCAGAAACTTTCTGACCTGGGCAAGTTTTATTGAGAGCTTCTAGGCGGGCTCCACTAGTGTATCTCTGGCACACAGTACAAACGGCAACAAACGACCCGTTCGAACAATCCAGGAGGATACACTTGTGGTTTAACTATCTAAGCCGCCGAACATCAACTCTCAAAGATTCAGAACAGTGGCCAGGGGCAGGCGCTTTATCAGCGGCATTGCGTGACGTCCTGAGGCACCCTTGGCAACTCCAAAAACGCTGATCCCCTCCAGGCGGACCCCGCCACTCCCATAGATGGGGCGAAACAGGGGTGCGAGGGGCAGGAGCAGGCGCAGACCACAAGGCACGGGAGAGGTCCGTGCGTGGCCAGAGTGGCAGAAGCGCTGCGCACAATTTGACCGCCATTAGAGCCGAATTCACTAGACCTGAGCATGCGTTGGCTAACTCCTCCGACGGCGCCTGATGGGAGTCTGCCCCCAACCTGGCGGCCCTGTCGGCGAAGTCGTTCCCGATCCTTCGAAACCGCTCATCGTCGTCGATCTCGGGATCATCGATGGGAAGGTGTGCGGGCACTTTCACACATCCAAGCGTCCATTTTCCCCCCAGAGAACGACCCTGCGTCACAAGCCCCGAGTATGGACGCTTGGGAGAAAGTTGCTCATGTCGGGCCATGCCGTGCATGGAAACAACGTTTTGGCAATCTGAATACAGTATTGCTGGTGCAGACAGGAACGCGCAAGCCATCGCATATGCCGAGAATTCTCCAGCCTGTGGTGTCTGCGGGCAGCTGTCCCATACGGGGCCCCAGCACCAGGCTAAGAGGTTCGACTGAGGGCCCATCATAGCTAAGCCCCATCCAGCACGATTCGAGCTGCGGACAACCTGTCGCGAGCACGAGCCGTCTAAGAAAACGTGGCCCCACATCTGTCGTCGGCCATCGCGGGGCATATCCATGCCTTCCGCAGCGAAGCCGTCAGGAAAAAACTGAAACTGGCTACCATCATCCTCCTCTGATTTACTGTCGGACTTAGGGGGCGGGAGCACACGCTGGGGGTGGCCAAACAAGCCAGAAGTAAGGTGGAACCGGTCTTTCTCAGGTACCGCCTCGAACTGCCTCAAAACCTGCTCCAGAGTACTGTTAGGAATCACCGCCCTCCTCTCCTCCTCCACCGCCGTACACGCATACAGCCGATGAAAGATCGTGTCTCCAGGCTGAAGGCATAGCGGGCAACGATCCTCTACTTCGTAACCTGCTGCTCGAGCGCGGGCGTAGGGCCAAATTCCTTGACAGGCACAGCAACGGATGGTTCCTTTCTGGCGAGCCGTAAACTCCTTCGAACGCAGAGCTTTGATGACGACGTCAAAACATAAAGACTCGACCCCATCGGGGCCGTACTTGCGGGCCGCTTCCCTCTCCAAAGAACGCCAAACCCCTTCTTTGAGGAAGACCTGAAGGAGGGAAGGAGGAGTGAGCGTGAGCGAATGCTCTACCCCCAAGTCGCTGATCATAACAAAGGGCGAGGGCATACTCCATCCCAGGCGGGCCAAGGAAAGTTTCATGGCCCCGATGGGCCCGCACACGGTCCGCCAGGTCCACGAGCGCCCGAAAACATCGTGCCACATGTTTCGGAGCTCGGCCAAGGTAAAACAAACTTCCGTGACCCTCGTGGCACGAGCCCAGACTTCCTTGGCCCACCTGATGGCTGGCGCCACTGCACCCCACCAAGCGGGATCGCCTTCGATCCTGCTGAGAATGGTTAAACTTCGGCCGCCGCAAGCAGGCTTCATCGTGGAGGCACACGGAGGAGGAGGAGGGGGGGGAAGAGGAGGAGGAGGAGGAGGAGGAGGAGGAGGAGGAGGAGGAGGAGGAGGAGGGAGGGGGATCAGGAAAAGGAGGAGGAGGAAGAGGCGGAGGAGGAAGAGGAGAAGTGGGCGGGCCGACGCGCGCCCGGCTCAGGTGTCTTCAACGGGGAGGTCGGCGCACGGCGAGGCCCAAATTGGGCGCACTCGACTCGCTATCGCTCGGACGTCCATTCCCCGTGCATCTCTTGATTCCGTGCTTGCATGTTTGTCGCAAGATGGCCCCAAGTGCCCAAATCTTCTTCGACGGTTCCCGCCGAGAGAATGTGCACGCGTCCAGGCGATGCCAAGTCGAACGAGAGGCCAGAGGGCGAGAGTGGGGCAGGGATGGGAAGGGCCAGGAGTCTTGGGTAGAGCGACGACTTGGCAATCTCTGCGGGCACGGTGTGTCGAGCAAGGCGCACGGCCCCAGCAGCCGCCCCGTCGGTCGCTCAGCAGTCCTCGTCGCCTCGCCCCGCGTGCGCAGACAAGGCGTCGCAGACGCCGTCTACGACTGCGTCCCAAGGGAGAAAGGGGAGGGAGGTGGGAGAACGAGGGGCTAGTCTTCTAGCGGAGCAGTCCGCCCAAGCAGGGTTGACTACCCGAAGTGTTCCACAAGTGTGGCCTCTGATGATAGAGGGCGATTGGTCGGGTCTACTGTGGGCGGTGATGTTCCACTCGTGACGTCGTCTGGCCAGGTCTCTGGCACAACAAACACACACAGACCCATGCCGAAAGCATCTATGAGGGCGCAGGGGGGGACGATGAATGGCAGCGGCATGGAGGACGAGTAGGACTGGGACCAAGACCAGCAGGGTGAGGACGGGGACGCAAAGGACTCCGACGAGGAGGGGGAGGAGGAGGAGGAGGAGGAGGAGGAGGAGGAGGAGGAGGAGGAGGAGGAGGAGGAGGACGCTGAGCGGAGCCCAGCAACTTCGGTCTGAGTCGCCAGAATCGGTAGAGAGGGGCCCCGCGCGCCTGAGATTGTAGGTCCGCGCGGAGCTGTGGTTACCGACGTGAGCAGTGCCCGCAGCCGGCCTCAGCGAGAACACGTTGCACGCGTCGCCGCAGCTCAGGACCAGCTGCTGCGACACCTCGGGGTGGATTATGCAGGATCCGCCGATCCCGCTGCCGGGACCCCTGCTGCCCAGTCAGGAGGAGGAGGAGGAGGCGGAGGAGGAGGAGGGAGGGAGGCAGGGAGGGAGGGAGGGAGGGAGGGAGGAGGGAGGAGGGAGGCGGAGGGAGAGGATGTGCATGCTGGCGAGGACGTCGGGTGAGGAGGAGGAGAGGAGAGGAGGAGGAGGAGGAGGAGGAGGAGAAGGAGGAAGAGGAGGAGGAGGGGGAGGGGGAGGAGGAGGAGGAGGAGAGGAGGAGGAGGAGGAGAGGAGGAGGAGGAGGAGGAGGAGGAGGAGGAGGAGGAGGAGAAGGAGGAGGAGGAGAGGGAGGAGGAGGTCGGCGGCCGAGTCGGGAGGACATCGAGCCGGTGGAAGCCGGCAGGCTATAGCGGGCCTCCGTTGAGGAATCGGAAGGCCAGATCGGTCTTCCCAGGTCGAATCGGACTGGGAGCGGCACCCGTCGAGGGTCGAGACGCACTCGCGAACTGGAGGAGTCGCAACGAGCCCTGCCGCGGTGCCCGAGCCTCGCGCCCTCGTGGCGCCTACCCGAAGCATTGGGTGCCGAATTCTTGCGGCCGCGACGGGTAGCGACCGATCGGCACTCCAAAACGGTCAGCAATCGCGACCGGTCGCGACCGATCGGTCGCGAGCGATGTTGAAGCACATCGGTCGCGACCGGAACCGACCATCGGGGCAGAATCGGTAGCGTCCGTCCTCGTCGGCCGCGACTGGAAATTTCGAGCATCCAGTGGTCAGAGCAGGTCCGCTCTCTCGACGCAGAGCCGGCCGGGGAGACGAGAAGCCTCCGGGAGCCCCGTGGGAGCACAAACGCAAGAGACGCCCGCGGGCGGGGCCGCCGCCGCTGTCTCGACGGCGGCGCTCCTACATACGAGAGGCCCCTTCGGCGGCGCGGCCTGGGGGGCAAGTGAGAAGGAGCAGGCCTCCTCAGAAGGCGGCGGGGCCTTCTCTCAGGTCGGGTGTTGCCAGAAGTAATGCGGGATGACGATTTATAAAAAAGAAGGGAGAGAACGATCAAAAAATAGTTTTCTGCTATTTCTGCATAATTTTCTGACTGGAAGAGAGCGATTAAAAAAAATAGTTTTCCAGCCCGCGGCCGGTTTTTTCTAATCGTCATCCCGGGCGCCGCCGCGTGAACACGACCCCCGGTCATTTATTAATCGTCATCCTCCATTACCCCTGGCCCAAGGTGCCCCCAGGATTCTCGGGGTGGCCTGGACGGCCACCAGGGTACCCCGCACGAGGCCCAGAGGGCCCCCAGGGGCTCCAACATGGAGGGAAAAGCTGAGGGCACCATTGGGCCTCAGTGGGCCCCGGAAACGGCAGGGCCGTCTTTTTACCGTTTCCAAAAAAATGCCCTTTGAAAATGGAAACGGCAAAAAAAATGCGACCGGAAACGGCAAACAAACGGCTCCAGGATTGGAACTGGAGCCGGAACCGGTCAAACAACGGCGACGGAACCGGCAAGAAAACGGCGTCGGAACCGGCAACAAAAACGGCAAAACGGAACCGGCACAAAAACGGCCCTGTCGTTTCCAGGGCCCACTATAGGCCAGGGGCACTTCTAGCAACACCCGATCAGGGTCGGGCGTTGGTAGAACCGGGTTTAGTGGAATCTGGTTTAATGATCTGTACCGGGGGCGCCCCCTCGCCCCATTTCCACTAACCGGAACTGTCGTCACCCGAAAAAACACAAGCTATAATATGGCAAACCTGGTTGAGTGATTCTGGCCAGTTCAAAGGCTCCGGGGCCCTACCACGAACCGGGCCCCCTTACCCGGGGTCCTGCTCCTGACGAGTCTTTGCTGCCCAGGGAGATCTGAAGGCGCCATGTACGTGCGAGGGCAGCGCACGGGTCAGGGCCCGCTTCCGTCCGACCGGCCCGCTTCGATGTATCCACTCTGGCCGGCCTCGTATCAGATTCGACCCCCATATTCCGACGAACCGATGCGACCCGAGTAACCTGAACAGAACGCCGGATTGCAAAAAAACCGAAGGATTGCAAAAAAACCCGTTTTTTTTGCAATCCTGGGTTTTTTTGCAATCCTTCGTTTTTTTGCAATCCTGGGTTTTTTTGCACCTCCGCGCGTATCTCTCGGCCCCAGGGCCGGCCAGCGCGCGCCCCTGCGGGCGGCTGGCGCCGGCGTGGCAGACGGGGAGGCCCCTTGGGGAGTCTGCAGGTCAAGGGGCCCTGGGGCACACAAGTACATGCATACAAACCCTAGGATTCACGATATGTTTCAATACTTTCAGGATTGTCGTCTTCCCCCCAAGTGTCCCTACTTTGTCAGATTTTCGTGGGGATCGACGATTAATTGTGTCTGTGTGTTTTTTCGCTTCCTGAGAAGTTCTCGGCCCAGGGAGGCCGCCCAAACGGGGTCGAAGCGCATGGGGTCGCAGGAACCCGCGGCGTCGCCGATGCATCGCCAACGCCTCGGCGATGCAGGGGCGACGTCGGCGATGCATCGGCGACGGCGACGTGGAGAAAACTGGGCCGCACATCGAGCCGCATCGCCGAGGCATCGGCGGTGCGGCACGATGCACCGACCCTTATCTACTTCGGCTCCATTGGGGCAGCCTGGAGCTCTGGGGCTTCCCCGCGGACATGGTTTCACGCCGCATCACTCTTGGCAGTCCTGGGGCGGCCTGGGAGCGGCCGCCGGAGGTCCCAAAAGCGGCGCCAAACCTCAGGACCCCATCCCTCTGTATGGCGAGCTCCAGCTGAGACCCCTGCGCTCCCGGCCACGCTGGAGGCGCCACAGCTCCCTCCTGTCTACGTCGCAAGCGCGTTACTGCGGCAAGTGCTTCCGTCCTGTAGGGGAGACGCCGCTACTCGAGCGGGAGCCCTGGCGATCAGACCGGCCGGCAACTCGACTCTCTCTCTCTCTCTCACTAATATAGGCTTGCATCCTCCGGGCCCCAGAGGCCTGGCCGCAACCGTGACGGCCAAGAACCCAGCGGTTCAGAGCTAGGAGCAGAAGAATAAACAACGCCATCAGTACGCACAAACGCTCCGCGCTCCGCGCGGATGTCTGGCATCTGCGCTGGGCCCCCCTCCCTGGCCCGGTGGCGGCGCCGGAGGCAGGCGCCGCGAGGGGGGCCCTTGGGCGCGGATCCACGAAATCGCGCAGAACGCCAAAAGTTCCTGCTTGTGCCGCTTTCTATGCTCCGAAGGAGCCTGTGATGGGCTTGTGGTCCGCCACCACCATAAGTTGGAGAGGGAGGGGGTCTTCCTCCTCCTCCTCGTCCTCCTCCTCCTCCTCCCTCCTCCTCTTCTCCTCCTCCTCCTCCTCCTCTACGTCCTCTTCCTCGTCCTCCACCTCCTTCCCCCATCCAACTTATGGTGGTGGTGGTGGTGGTGCTTGGCCTGGTGCATCGGGCGCTCGGGCGCCCAGGAGCCGGGCCTCCCCTCGAGACCGGCGGGGCAAGCCGGCACGGACCAAAAAAACCGTGCGAGACAGCGTTCCGCCGGCGCCGTGCAGCCCAGGCCACGAGCAAAGCAGAGAGTGGCTGCGGAACCAGGGGCCTCCATGTGCGGGTCCCAAGAAGAAGAACACCACCACCACGTCGATTCCTCCTCCCTCCTCTGCCCTCCTCTCTCTGGGAGAGGGAGGGGGTGAGGGAGGTGGAGGTGGTGCATAGGCTTGGGCCCCGTGCTCCAGGAGCACGGCAGGTCTGTGTCGTGCCGATGTCGACGTCAGGCTTCTGACACCGCGGGTGCCGTCCAACCTTGAACGGTCGGCCGTTTTCGAAGCGCGAGATCGTCCACCACTGACTGGTTCTGTGTCGCTGGCGGCGTTCCGCGCGGAACGCCAGCGGCGGGGTCGCCACGGGTCGACACGACTCGAACCAGGGGGGGCGGCGGAGGGGGGGCGGCGGCGGCGGCGGAGGGAGGAGGAGGAGGAGCGGGAGGAGGAGGAGGAGGGAGGAGGAGGAGGAGAGGAGGAGGAGGAGTGAGGAGGAGGAGGAGGAGGAGGAAGGGAGCACGACGCGAACCTGCACCGCAGCCAGGAGGGGGGGGGCGGAGGGGGGGCGGCGGAGGGGGGGGGAGGAGGAGGAGGAGAGGAGGGAGGAGGAGGGGAGGAGGAGGAGGAGGAGGAGGAGAGAGGAGGAGGAGGAGGAGGAGGAGGAGGAGGAAGAGGAGGAGGAGGAGGAGGAGGAGGAGGAGGAGGAGGAGAAGCAGGAGGAGGAGGAGGAGGAGGAGGAGGAGGAGGAGGAAGGGAGCCACGACGCGAGCCTGCACCGCAGCCAGGGGGGGGTGAAGGGGGAAGGCCCCAGGCAGAGCGCCGCGCTCGCTGGGGCCCCCCTCCGAGGGCACAGGCAGTCAACCCGCACAAGGAGGGTGCGCGGCAGGGATGCACGACCCTTGGAGGGCCACGCTGGCGCTTGCCGAACGAGGCTGGCCAGCGAGTCGCTGAGGATGGGCCGAAGGGGTAAAGACGCAAGGGTGCCCCTGCGGAGGCTGCCCGCCCTTGCTGTGCGGGTCTGCTGTGAAGGCGGGGCCACGCCAGGTCTGTGCCTTCGGATCCTCGGCGAAAGGCATGGCCATCTCCACTTCCAGTTCGCCCGGACGAGGTTGCACACTTCTCCGCGAGCTGTTCCTCACCTCCTCCCCTCCGAGCCGTTCCTTGTTCTCAACATTGGTGAACACACACACACACACACACATGTCGCTTCGGTCTGCACAACTCTCTGCACATGTGTTCCCGCCCACATTCCGCACGGCGTTTGTGGCCTCTCGACTCGCCTCAAGTCCTCGGCGCGGCACAGCCCACACAGGGATTTTTTGTGTGCAAAGACTGCGAGATGAAAGAGAAGAACGCGCGGGCTCACAAAACTTTCGCCCCATGCCCTTGCGTTGAGTCGGCGTTCGGCTCTGGGATGTCTTGGCCACCACGTCATGCCCCGGCCAGGCATGGCACCTTCCTGGCACCATGGGGCCACGCCAACGCTGCCCACACAGACGGATAAGGGAGCGAGAAAAAGTAACGAAGATCCACTCTCTGCCTCTCTGGGCGAGGCCGGCGGAAAAGGCGCCGGCCTATCGAAGACGCACTCAGATGGCGGAGCGACGTACAGACGCACGCCCGTGTCACCGAGCACCATCTCGCCGCCGACGCCATCCAGGTCCGCGCACAGCTTGTAGCTCGCCCCAAGGGTCAGGCCTGTGCAAACCGCGGCCGCGCAGGGTGGAGGCACAGATTCTCGGATTCACGGACATCCACGGATCGCTCCTCCTCCTCCTCCTCCTCCTCCTCCTCCTCCTCCTCCTCCTCCTCCTCCTCCTCCTCCTCCTCCTCCTCCTCCTCCTCCTCTCCCCCTCCTCCTCCTCCTCCTCCTCCTCCTCCTCCTCCTCCTCCTCCTCCTTCTCCTCCTCCTCCTCCGTCCACGCGTGCGTAGATTTGGCCATCGCGATCGCAAGCAGGAGCGCATGGCAGCACATGGGCTTCTGGGCTCGATGATCCGTGGCCGAGTTGCGCTGGACGCATGGGGCGTGACTGCGCAAGCACAGAGGGCACCCAATGGGCACGGTTTCCACACAGAGTGGCAAACGATGGGCCAAGCTGACAACCTACCAGACCACCCCAACCCAACCTGCAGACCCGAATTTCGGGTTTGGGGGAGGGGGTAGGGCTACACATGTGTTATTTCGATGTTTCCCGACCCCCCCCCACTGGAAATCAAGGGCTAATCTGAGCATTCGGGTTGGGTTGGGGTTTTTGGTGGGTGGTGACAAACACAGATTCTGAATGTTCAGTTTGGCAGCACGCACTGCGACACATGACGGGCAACTTTGAAGGGCGACAGTCCGCGACGTGGCTGCGCACCCGGCAAGCGAGCTCGCGCGGTGATTTTGTGATTCCATACCAGTCGCAAAGCTGAAAGACAGTCCTGACGGGGGCGAACGCATTAGCTTCGTTTCAGGGTGATGAGGTGGAGAAGGACGAGAGGTAACAGAGTGCCATGAGGGGTGTTGAGGAGTCACAGGAAGACTGGGCAACACTTTTAAGCAGGGCAAAGCTGAGGACGAGGAGGTGGAGGGGAACGGCGACAAGGAGGAGGAGGAGGATCATGATGGGAGCGAAAACGGGGAGGATAATTAATGAGAGGGACGATAAGTAGGGCCAGCATCACCAGCAGGAGCAACCGAAAAGGGACGAGGCGAATCGTGGATGGAAGAAGACGAGGGGAAGGAGGGACAGTGGGAGAAGGGTCAAGGGCGGAAGGAGAGGAAGGGACAGACACATCGAGAATCCGAGGATCGAGAAAAAATGCAGGGTGACAACAAGGAGAAGCGAACGCAGCTGGCTTCACAAACAAGGAGAAAGACGAGCAGGAAGAGGAGGAGAACCATGAGTTGCGGAGCTACGGATGTTGCGACGATGCCCTATGCGGATCAAGTTATACACGGATCGATGGGACCCTTCTGGGTTGCTTGGCTTTTGGACTCAACGCCCTCACTGCCTGAAGTGCAACGAGCTGTGTGGCAGGCGGCACAGCACGCTCCAGCAGGGCGACCTGCTGGACCTCTCTCTGCCCAATTAGGCAGAGATTCGCCAGGCACCTGCAGGCAACCCTGCAGATGTAAAAGCAGCCTTGGGGCCAGAATCTCCCCTCGGCATTAGATCTGTACTCTCTCCGAGCAAGCGAGGAGCAGGAGCAGGAGCCGGAGAAGGCGTGGAGGAAGAGGGCCAGGCGGCCGGCAGGGGAGGCACGGCGGAGTGCGGCAGACGGGGTTGCGCGGCGGGGGGCGCGACGGCGCAGGGCAACGCGAGAGCGCTCCTGGGCGTCGCTCAACGGGGGGGGGCTCGAGAGGGCAACAAAAAACATCTCCCCCCACAAGGATCATTCCCGACACGCGAAGCTCCTCGAACGCACCCACAGAGGGAACCGAGCAGAGCAAGGCCGTGTCGTAAACGCCCAGGGCCGCTCAGCAAACGCCCACGATCGGGTCGGGGCGGTGTTTCCTCCCTTGATAGAAGTGTGGTGGGGGGGGGGAGACTGGGGTGCATTCCTCGGGCCCCGAAGGCTCCAGCTGGGGGCCCTCGAAATAGTCCAACAACGCTCACAAAAAAGCCCAATCATCACAAGTTGCTGAATAATTCCTCCTGGAGAGGGACTTGCCCGACTCAGCTTTGGGCCCCCCCCCGAGGGCCCCTGCTCTGCACAGCCCCTTGAGATCAGCAGGAGGAGGAGGGGAAGGGGGAGGAGGAGGAGGAGGAGGAGGAGGAGGAGGAGAGGAGGAGGAGGAGGGAGGAGAGGAGGAGGGAGGAGGAGGAGAGGAGGAGGAGGAGGAGGAGGAGAGGAGGAGGGAAGGAGGAGGAGAGGGAAGAGGAAATAGGAAGAACAGGAGGAGGAGGAGGAGGAGAAAAGGCTCCCTTTTGGGGGCCCTCAGGCGCCCTCTTCAGGGCCCCTGCTCTGAAGCCCTCGCTGCCCCCCCCCCCCCCCCCCTGATCGCCCCCCCCCATTGCTGTTACCCGACGCCCCCAACGCTCGTAGCGAGGAGCCCGTGCGGGGAGGAGGGGGCTCTTCCACTCTCTCCTCCTCCTCCTCCTCCTCCTCCTCCTCCTCCTCCGCCTCCGCCCTCCTCCGCCTCCGCCTCCTCCTCCTCCTCCTCCTCCTCCTCCTCCTCACTCCTCCTCCGCTCCTCCTCCTCCTCCTCCTCCTCCTCCTCCGCCTCCGCCTCCTCCGCCTCCGCCTCCTCCGTCTCCTCCGCCTCCTCAATCTCCTCCTCCTCCTCCTCCTCCTCCTCCTCCTCCTCCTCGGATTGGATGCTGGCCATTGCTCCCCTTGGTGGCAACTTCTCGTTGCTCCCTGGGCTCACAGGGCAATACATGGCGCAGAGAAGCCGCCGACAATGTTGCCGTATGTGAAGGCAGCTTCTGTACCGGTCGTCCAGGGGTGATCCTTTGATCCGAAGCTCGCCAACCCGAGATGCATCGAACCAAGGCGTAATCGAATCGATCAAAAAAACGCGTTGCCTTTGATCCGTTACCTCCCGTTGAAGATTTCAGCGCATAGTCGTCAGAGTACTAGCGTACGCTCCGTTTGCACTGCTGACAGGCTCGTAGTGCTCTTTCGCATATTGGCCCGTAGTGCTTCACAATGTCCTGGTGCTTCTGCAGTCTGGAAATTTACGCATGTCCCCAAATCTGCGTGGCATGAAGAGTGCATGGACGCCGCCAATCCTTCCACAGCCCCACAACTGATGTTGCCCGGGGGCCCTGCCTTTTGTAAGAATTTGTCGGGGGGGCGTCACTAGAGCAGTTTACGTGTTACCCATTTAAGTGTAACACCGCCCCTGAGAGTCAGCTGACGCAAAAGAGACGACCCACTCGGCCGTGGTCACGTATGTGGCCGCCCCGAAAGCATGATTTATGAGATGCGTCTGTTGTGGCCGCTACTCTGATATTGAGCATGGGGGTTTTTGAAGTGGCTGCTTATGGCCTCCAGCAGGACCAGGTACCAGACAGTGTTTCGACTGCACGCATGAAACATACACAATCGGTCGAATGGGTGTCACAGATCTGCTGTTGCTGTGGGTTCGGCAAACATGGTCCACGCCTGCCATAACAACAAAGACTGTGGTCATTGCCAAGGGCTGTTTGACCCTTGGTGGCTGTTTGATGCTTGCTCACCTTGGGGGTAGGTAATCCGTGCACCTTGCCGCACCCTCTATAAAATGCAGAGGCTGCTCGCCGACACCGTGAGTTTTGCGAATCCTCGCCGTGCCCCCGAGCACTAGCTACGCTACCGCTGTCAGTGTCACTGCTGGTTGCACGCTGTGACGGGAGCAGTGGGCGCGTGTGCGCATGTGCTCTGCGTGCCACGGGGCCCGACAAACCCCTATCTTTGTCGAGGTGCTTCGCTCGATCCTCGTCGGGCTTGCTTCGCCGTGCCGCTTCGCGCCGACACGTCGAGGGCCCCGTCGGACAGCGCCCGGCCCCGCTGCCCTGCGGCAGCTGCGGCACTGTGGAGCACTGGGCTCCTGTGCTGGATGTCCCGCCGTGCGCGAGATGCTGTACCCACCGTCCCAAGACCCGGCTTGTCACGCTTCACTTCCTCCCGACATCGGAGGCAGGGGACGCCCCGAGGGCCAGCGAGAGCGGTACCCCTGTCGCAGCTGAGCTGGGCGGCTGGCCTCGGGGCCGGTGCCGCGTCCTCCCCAGCCCTCATGTGCCGATGGGCCCTGCTTCTCTCTCTGCAGCGCCGCGCGTGTCCTCCTCTTCCTCTTCGCGCTCCTCTTCCTCGTCCTCGCCTTCCTCGTCATCCCGCTCCCTCCTCCTCCCTCAGCCTCCCGCTCCTCCCCTTGCTCCTCCCTCGTGCTCTTCCTCTCCTCACTCCTCCCTCCTCCTCCCCCTCCTCTTCTTCTTCTCCTTCTTCTTCTTCTTCTTATTCTTCTTCTTCGTGCTCCTCCCGCCCTGGGCCGTTTCGGCACCCCTCTTGCGCGTGCCGTGACCCCCACAGGGGGGCTCCACCCGCGGCTGTCTTTGAGGGCGTTCGGACAGCGATGCCGCTCCATCTCGACACACCCATCGCGCGGCTCGCACTCGACACGGAGCTTTAGCCAGGGCGCGAGGAGCGCACTGTTTTGTTCGCGGCCATAGCGGGCGTTATGGGGGGGAGAGGAGGGGGACGGGAGAGAGCACAACGTAGCGCCCACCCCAAGACTGTGGTGCCGGACTCACTGCGGCAGCGCCGGGGACGCACTGAGAAGGGGAGGGCTACGTCGTTATGGGGGGGGCGGGGGGGCGGAGGGTAGGGGACATCATGCGCGTTATGGCCCAAAGGTTAGAAAGAACACTCTCCAGTGAGGGTGGCAGCATTGCGTGGCCGCGGCGTTTCGGCACACCCTTCGAGCGGATCGTACTCAACAAGGGGCTTCACCTCGAGCACCAGTGAGGGCGGCTGCATCGCGTGGCCGCGACATTTCAGCACACCCCTCACGCGAATCGGGCCGCACTGGAGGCTCCACATACGGCCGCAATGAGGGCGCCCGCATGGCGTCGCCGCGCACATTTTGGCACACCAAGCACGCGGATCTTGTTGAATCTGGTGGTGGCTGTGCCGAGATGGTCAGGCCGACGCCATGCGACCGCCCTCACTGATGCCTTAGTTTGCGCACAGTCTGCCCAGACGGCGGGATGACGCAATCCAAACGCCCTCTCTGGGGTCGGAGGCGGAGCTCCCTGTTGGGCACGATCCGTGTGAGAGATGCGCCGAGGTGGCGTGGCGACGCTATGCGAACGCCATCGCTGGGGCCGTTGGTGCAGCTCCCTTATGCGAACGCCCTCGCTGTGGCCATAAGCGTAGGCGACGCTCCCTGGTCGGCACGAAGCTCTCTGTTCGGCACGATCCGCGTGAAGGGTGCGCCGAATTTGGCGCCGCGACGCTGTACGAATGGGTCGTGACACATAGGGAGCTCCACTTGCAGCCCCAGCGAGGGCGTTCGCATAGCGTCGCCATCCACAACCCTCAAACTGATCGTACCCCCCCCCCCATGGGAGCTCCACCTACGGCCCAGCCCCAGCGGGGGCGCTCGCAAGGCGCTGCTCTACCTCATTTATGCACACCACGCACGTGCATCGTTTCCCAAGGTGAACTCCAGCGACGGCGCCAGTGGGGGCGTTCACATAGCGCTCCCTGGCTCATTTGGGTGCACAGCTTACGCGGATTGCTCCCAAGAATGAACTCGGCGCGCCTCTGCGCGCACTTTCCCGAGCCCCCTATCCGCACCGCCACGTGGCGAGCAATGCATGAAGAGAGAGGGTCATGCCCTGTGCAACACGCAGCTGCGTAGGTTTGGGCCCATCGTCATGCAAACTGCTGGGCCCGTCTTGCGGGGAGCCCAAAGAATTAGGTGCGCGGAGTCCTCGATCTTCCACACAACCCCGCGATCGAAGCTCTCGAGCAAGCCGCCAGCGTCTGGCCTCCCTTTGCTTCAGCTAGGCTGGGGGAATGCACGCCAACGACAAGAGCTGCAGAGTACGGAGCACGCGGCCAGCGGCCGCTGGAATGCAGCACACTCCAATAGCCGACTGCTTGAGCGTGCTGCTGCTTGTGATGTGCAAGCCTTGCTTGCAGTGAGATCGAGGCTTCGAGGCCCGCTTGGGCGAGCGGCGCAAGCGGCGCAGCGAGGTGGCGGACTTATCCGGGGCCACGGCAAGGGGGGAGGCAGACGAGGACGCCACCCGGTGGGGGCCCAGAAGGTCGGGCGATCAGAGGGAGCTACAGGCAAGAGAGTCTCCGACGCAGCTCACGAGAGTGGTGGAGGCGCGCAGCAGGAAGAAGCGGAGAGGGTGTCTCGAGGTGGTCGACCAGCTCGAGGGAGAGCCCCAGAGAGCTGCGTCGGAATGAATGTGGGCCCACCCAGATCATTGGATACCGATGTATTGCGGTCGCGATCGGTGGAAACCAATCGGCTCTCCAGATCGGTCGCGACCGATCGGTCGCGACCGATTTTGAGGCAAATCGGTCGCGACCCATACCGAAATCCGAAATCCGAAGCGAAATCGGTAGCGACCAGTCTCTTCGGTAGCGACTGGACATCATCAGTATCCTATGGTCAGGGCATGGTGCACCGCTCAGGATGGGAAACCACACTTTTCTGCGGTTGCTGACTCGGCGTGCGTCTATAGGCGGATTTTGGACGAATTGTTGTTTAACAACTTATAGACACATATATATATATAACAATATATATATATATATATATATATATATATCGATTCAAACTTTGTTAATAACGCTAGAAACATCGTCCCAAGACCATCTTTTGATTAAGTACTTTTAGCGTGCCCGACTTCAGCGTACCCTCGAGTCGGTCGGAGGAGCGCTGGGCCACGGCGACGCGGACTGCGCACAGGGGAGCCCGGGGAGCGGGCAGAGGCGTGGGCGCTCGGGAGCACGCACGTGCACTCTGGACCAGCACACGCCTCGGGCATCACCCAGAGCCCCTGTACCCCCAGAGGTCGACCCCCAGAGGTCTGGACCCTTCCCCGGGATCGTTTCTTCCATCCTGGATCTCGAACGGGCCCAGGGGCCCAGGAGGGAGCCCCAGTGGCCGAACAAGCAGCACACAAAAGCCTCCCGCCGTGACTCTTGTCACAGCGCGAGGGGGTCTGGAACCCTGGCCACGGCGGACGCGTGGCTGAAGAGAAGCGCCCGGACGAGGGAGTGGCCCCCCCCCCCGGGGGGGCACGCGCCGGGGCCGCTGAGGCGCCGGGCCGCCGGCGTCCACTGCGGCGGTGAACCTATAGAGGGAGAGCTGCATGAGCAGAACGCTTCGAAGGTCCGCGGGGACTTCTTGGATCTAGGGGAACCAAAACAGGCGTCAACACAAAAACTTGGAGGCCGCGCGGATTCCTCGGATCGGCGCTGGCGGCGCCTCCGGCGCCGCCCCCTGGCGCGCTCCGCGCGCCCGGGAGGGGGGTCCAGCGCCGATACGAGAAATCCGCGCGGACCTCCGAGTCTTTACGTGTACGTCCCTTCTTGTTCCCCTATGGGATCGTCGGCTACACGCAGGAGCGACCTCGGGGGGGGGAGGAGGAGGAGGAGGAGGAGGAGGAGGAGGAGGAGGAGGAGGAGAGAGGAGGAGGAGGAGGAGGAGGGGGAGGAGGAGGGGGAGGAGGAGGAGGAGGGAGGAGCAGGAGAGAGGAGCAGGAGCGGCGACGGAGGCCTCGGGGGCCGCGCGGGGGGTCCGCGCAGACACGCGCGCGAGAGGCTGCTGCGGCCTGGCGATGGGCGATCGGGGGGGGCCCCAGTGTAGGAAGGCACCAACTATACACCAACACCGATCCTGGCCAGGATCACCCTGGGCCCAGGATCGGTGTATACGCCCTCCTGCCTTGCGCAAGAAGGCATATACACCGATCCTGGGCCCAGGGTGATCCTGGGCCAGGATCGGTGTTGGTGTATAGTTGGTGCCCTCCGACAGCGGGCCCGCGCCAAAGGTCACCCTGGCGAAAGGTCACTCCCACGTCTGGTCGAGATCGGCGCTGGACCTCCTCCGCGGCGCTCGGAGCGCGCCAGGGGCCGCGCAGGGAGGCGCCGGCGGGGGGTGTCTGGCGAAGATCCGAGAGATCCGCGCGCACCTTCGAGCATGTATTTCCCCAATCAGGGTAGGGAGAGGGCCGAACCCAGGGCAGACGCACACCCTTCAAGACCACGAGACCCTCCGCCGGCCGAGGCACACAGAGCATCCGAGGGCACCCTCCCCCAGGATGCACGAGAACATCCACGGGACACGAAGATCATAATAGGGCACCCTCTCCGAACCGACCTCGATCTTATACCTCGGTCTGGCCGTGCTCACGTACCTCTGGTGGGTGTTTTCTTCTTCGGCGTGTCGACATTGGGCGAAGGGTGGGAAGGGGGGGTCTCGCTCTGGACCTCTGCCTAAAGCGACTGTTTGCAGCAGTGCCTCCCATGGGAGAGGCTCCGCCTGTCCGAAACAGGCGCCAAAAACAGCCAACATCTACTCCCAGGGGGGGGGGCGGGAGGGAGGTGCGAGGGCCCGCGCCGATCGGCAACACAACAAGCAAAACAACGATCTCCTGTGGGTCTGCCGAGGCTTCGCCTGGTGGGCCACCCGTGAATTGTGTGTTTTCTATATGCGCTATCTTTTTCAAGGGCTCCCAACTTCGCGCTTCGCGCTCCGCGAAGCGCGAAGCGCGAATAACTTCGCGCTCTCGCGCCGCCCCCCCAGAGGGAGAAAAGGAGGACGAGGAGGAGGGGGAGAAGGAACGAGGACCGCGAAGCGCGAAGCGCGAATAACTTCGCGCCCTCGTGGGAGCCCTTGCTTTTTGTTCATGGTCAGCACAGCTGGCACATCCACAGTGCAATACATCACTATTCGGGGTGCACGCCGGCCGCCGTGTCGATCCATACCTCTTCCGTGCTCGAGGAACCGCGCCCCCGCGGCGCCAAGCCGGACGGCGGACGCCCGGACGCCCGGCACGGAGGCCGCGGCGAGGGCGCCGTCGCCGCTGCACTCGAGCGCGACGGACACCTTGCGAGGGGGGGAGGGCCGCGTCTCGTCGGGTCACGGCTGCGATCCCCGTGCGCAGCCTCAGATGTGACCCGTGGGGGCTCCTCCCGCTGCCCCTCCCCCTCCTGGTCCGTCCGCTCCTCGTCCGCCGTGTCTTCCTCCGCCCTCCTCCTTCCCCATGCCCTCCTCATACCCGCTTCAAGCCTTCGTCCTCCCTGGTCCTCCCGTATTTCCTTTTTCTTTTCCCCTCATCCCTCCCTCCTTCCTTCTTCCTCGCACCCTCCTCCTCCTCCCCAATCCCCCTTCCCTCTACGTATCTCCTTCCCCTCCTCCTGCTCCTCCTCCTCCTCCTCCTCCTCCTCCTCCGCACCCTTCTCCTTCGCATACTCATTTTCCTTGCCCGTCTGGTCCTCCTCCTCCTCCTCCTCCTCCTCCTCCTCCTCCTCCTCCTCTTCGCCCAGTAACTACCCACGTGTCCCCGATATGACCCCCCAGGGGATAATAACATTCTGGGCTCCGGGGGCGATAAAACAAACAAAAAACAAAAAAAACATAATGTCCCGGCAACTCGGATGTACGGGTGTAAGGTGTACGGCTGCACGGTGTGCATGCGCGGCGCCGCAGTAGAATATCCTGCTCGCTCAGGCGGGGCCTCTTCCCTAGACGGGAAGTCTGAGCGCGACACCCGTGCACAAGTCTTATATATTGCACTACAACGTCTTGCCGTCGCTCGGACGTCCATTTCCCGTGCACTTTCCGGTTTATTGCGTGTTTTTTGTTCTTGCCCGATGGTCCAGGATGGTCCTCGATGGTTCCCGCCGAGAAAAAGTGCACACGTCCAAGCGATGCCAAGAAGTTGATGGCGATACTGATCATGCCAGCCTCGACTGGTACTTGGCCCGGTGGTAAAGCAAGTTCGGCCTCGCCGCCCCCGACCGCGCACCAAAAATGAGTCGCCCTGGGACAGTCATGATACAAAGGACTAAGGGGAGAGGGTATCCATCATAAGCTGGAGGATGCGGTGAATCCTCCCTTCCCCTCGCCTTCTCGCATCCTTCTCGTGGTCGCCATGCTCCACTTAATCCTCTCGATTCCTCCCTTCTATCACCTCCCCCTTGTCACTGAACTCGGGACCGAACATCGAGCGAGAACGCGGACCTGAGAGGTCGACCAAGCAGGACTGACAGAAACGCTGAACAGCTCCTGGTAACCTCGGAGACAAATCATGGAGACAACATGCAACAGGACGTCCTGAAGGGTCGACAGCATGCAGGCTTGAAATTGGAGCTCTGTCACCGTCCATGCCAAATAGATTCACGAATGGATCCTCCTCCTCCTCCTCCTCCTCCTCCTCCTCCTCCCTCCTCCCCCTTCTCTTGCTTCTTCTTCTATGCTCCCCCCCCACCCGCAATGCGAGAATGAAGGGGGAGGGAGTGGGATGGGGAGCAGGAGGGAGACAGGGAGTGCCATTCCATGAGATGTCGGACACGCGACGCAGCACACTCGAAGAGGCCCCGCCAGTCTTTGGCCGATCGGGAGCGCTCGTGGTGCCCACCGCTGTGCCGCGGGCACCTATTGCCATGTCCTCAACTCAGCGCCCGACATGTGCCCCCCCGTCGTGCTCTACTCCTGTGTGCTCTTCTGCCTGCCCGCCCGTCGGTTCGAGGAGGAGGAGGAGGAGGAGGAGGAGGAGGAGGAGGAGGAGGAGGAGGAGGAGGGGCAGTCGCGGGTGTGGCGCCCTCACCGGCGCGCAGGTGCGCCGCACCACGCACCAGGGCGCTCGGCTCGCCGAGCACGCGCGCGCGCTGTGCTCCTCTCTTTCTGTGCGGCGGGAGGGCGCGGTCTGGAGAAAGCACCCGGCGCAGCCAGGTTTCTGCTGACGCGATGTGCGCACTTCCGCTCGGAAGGCAACGCCAAAAGGACCACGGCAAGCGAGGCCTCCTCTGATGGGGCCCGAGCAGCTTAGTTGGAGGAACGCGCCGCTTCGCCGATACAGCGGCGAGGTATCGGCGATGTATCGGCGACGCACCGGCGGTGCATCGTCGACGTGGACGATGCATCGGCGACGTCGACGTGAAGCAAATCGGGCTCCACATCGAGCCGCATCGCCGATGCATCGGCGACGCGGTGCGATCCTCCGACCCCATCTGCTCCAACCCCAACTGGGAGGCCTCGAATCTGGCAAAGTAACCGGCGAAGACTACATCTCCGTGATCGGAGGGCAACGTCAGAGTGACCCCGGTAAGGTGGCCCGATGCTCCCTTGGTCCGCCCGCCCGCCGCCCACAGAGCGGGAGTGAGGGGCTGGTCGGGGCGCGTTGAGCGAGAAGCCCCAGCATATCCATCCCACACAGTGACCCAGAGGGAGGAAGCAGGAGGAGGAGGAGGAGGAGGAGGAGGAGTGAAAGCAGCCTGGAGAAAGGAGGAGGAGGAGTAGAAAGAGAAGGAGTAGGAGGAGGAGGAGGAGGAAGAGGAAGAGGAGGAGGAGGAGGAGAAGAAGCCTCGTGCAAGGGGGCCCCCTTCCTTCTCCGCATCCCTCCCCCAACTCGGGGGGGGGGATCCCGAGGGGGGTCTGCGCCACCCCTCCACCCCTCCCCGCCCCGACTCCTGCCCCCCCGACACCAGGGGAGGCAGGCGGTCGCGGGGACCCCGTCTCCCCCTCCGGGGCCTCGCGGAAACCCTGCGCGACTCGTGCGACGCGGCCCTCCGAGACGGACCACCAAGGCTGCCGGGCTGGCCCGACGCACAGCCTCGAGAGGCACCTGACAACTTCCCAGACACCTCGGGCAATGCAGAGAACATGACGGCAAGTGTTTCAACATGTTCGGCCTCTGGGGACGCTCACCGGGCCGCGGGACCGTCAACCAACGACGCAGGCTGGGAAATCGGTCCCGGACGGCGGCGGCACGGCTGCCCTGGTCAAGCAACTGACTCGAATGGCCAAGACAGAATCAGCGACAGCAGAGGGTGCCGTCGAGCCCTCAGGGCACCCAGAGTACCACGCTTTTGAGCGCAAAGGGCAATCCGTAGCCAGGGACTGTTTGCACACACGCTGTCGCATCGGGCAGAACAACGTCGCCCTGGTCGAGCCTGCTGTGATAAACTCAGACTCGAACCCGAGTCGGCTGCTGAAACGTGCGGCGCTCGGACAACCCATGTCGAAGCAACGCCACGTGGAGTAATACGAAGAAGAGGACGAGAAATGCGAATAATATCGGGGAGACGTAAGACCCGGGTACGGGGGACTCGGAAATCCCCGACGAGGTCGTCAAAAAAATGACGAGGCCGAGCCTGCATTTTGACGAGGCCTCCCGCTGCAGACATCCCACGAAACTCCTCCTCGTCAAAATCCGAGTCGCAGTCGTCAAAAAACGATGGCGAACCCGAGTCCCGGCAAACCCGGGTCTTACGCTTCCCCGGTAATAGTACAGTCCAAACGTGTGTGGAGGACGGGTGGTGAGGACGCGAGACCCTTGGAAGCCGCAGTAGGGATTGTGTGGGCGGCGACAGACCAGGGAAGACGGCAAATGACGGGCCGCAGAGGCAAGGACACAAGGGCACCCTAGATGAAGGCGCGCATCCTTACTAGGCGCTTTGACTGCATGTAGAATCGGGATAGAAAGACAAGAGAGAAGGATGACAGAAGAGAGGATGGCATCGAGCCCATCTGCACACGGTGCGCAGCCGGTGTGAATCGGCAGCCCAGGAATCGCGTAATTCCTCGAACCGCTCGTGTGGCCTGCACTAAAAGGCTGGTCCCCCTGCCTTCGGATGCAATCCCTGGGAGATGATCTGATTCTGACTTTGCCCCGGTCCAGAATCTGGCTCTTAATCCGGCTTCATCCCCGCTTGCTCTGGCTTGATGCCGCTTCATCAAGCTTTATCTCGCTGAATCCGCGGCCACATCAGGCGTAGCGGCCCCCCAATGGGGCTCAAGACTCCCTGATCCTTCCGACGAAGACCTCCAAGTAGTTGCCTCCTAACCTGCTCGTCCCCACCCTTCGGCGGCGAGCGAGAGGGGGAACTGAGAAGGGGCGGGCCCTTAGTGTGCCCCGGAAACGGCAGGGCCGTTTTTTCACCGTTTCCGAAAAATGTCCATTGAAAATGGGAACGGCAAAAAAACACGGCGACCGGAAACGGCAACAAAAACGGCTCCAGGATTGGAACCGGAGCGGGAAACCCGTAAGAGAACGGCGACGGAGCCGGTAAAAACCAGCGTCGGAATCGGCAAAACACGGCAAAACGAACGCCGGAAACGGCCCTGTCGATTCCAGGGCCTACAAAGGGCGGGCCTTCTCAGAGGGCTCAGAAGTCCCCTGGCCTTCTGAGAAGTTCTACACCCTGCAAAATTCTTTAGAAATCATGGGTTAAGAAATTCATAGTCTCAGAATTTGACCAAAAAACCAAACGTTTCTATTAACATCTTAGGATTTACATTGAAAAGTTAAGAATAATCGAGCCTGTGGCCGAAAATTCAAGTTTTCTTAAGCATCGCCTAAGGTGTATGGTCCTGCCCCGAAGACACAGAAAGAAACCTCTCAGGAGGAAAACCAGAGCCCCCGAGAGGCCCCGCCGCCCTCTGAGAAGGCCTCCTCATTCTCACTCCCCTCCTCCTCCTCCTCCTCCTCCTCCTCCTCTTCCTCCTCCTCCTCCTCCTCCTCCTCCTCCTCCTCCTCCTCCTCCTCCCTGCTCCTCCTCCTCTTCCTCCTCCTCCTTCATCTCCTCCTCCTCCTCCTCCTCCTCCTCCTCCTCCTCCTCCTCCTCCTCCTCCTCCCTCCTCCTCCTCCCTCCTCCTCCTCCTCCTCCTCCTCCTCCTCCTCCTCCCTCCTCCTCCTCCTCAGTCCTCCTCCTCCTCAGTCCCCTCCTCCTCCTCCTCCTCCTCCTCCTCTCCTCCTCCTCCTCCTCTTCCTCCTCCTCCTCTCCTCCTCCTCCTCCTCCTCCTCCTCCTCCTCCTCCTCCTTGCCTCCTGAGCTGCTAGCCCCCATCACCCAGGCCCGACGGCGCGCATCGCGCCCGGCGATGGGCGGCCCACGGCTGCGCCATCGTGTGCCTCGCGCCGCCGCCTCAGGAGAAAGGGTGTACACCTCAGCGGCCCGGGGCCCCGCCGCGCGGAGCGCGATCTACCTTCGCCCCGCTGGGGAGGAGGAGGAGGAGGAGGAGAAGGAGGAGGAGGAGGAGGTGGTGGAGGAGGAGGAGGAGGAGGAGGGGGAGGAGGAGGAGGAGGAGGAGGAGGAGGAGGAGGAGGGCCAGGGAGGAGGGCCAGGGGGGAGGGCCAGGGGAGCTCCCGGCGGGCCCTCCCGCGGCGGGAGGCGCAGACCACGAGACGCTGCTGCAGCAGCGGCGGATGCACCCCAAGGCGGAAGGGGGTGGCCCACAAGTCCACAAGAACAGACAAGGTTGCGCGGCAAGGATGCAGGGGCCCTCGAAGGCCACCTTCGCAGAATCCTCGAGGAGGCTCGAAGCCTGAGGGCGCGAGGCAAGAAGCACGAGTGCGAGGGTGACCTTGGGAAGGCCGCTCCTTCTTGCTATGCGGGTGGACTGTAGGACCCTACCCTCCCGACACTTGCTCAGGAGGCAACTACTGGGAGGTCTTCGTCGGAAGGATGAGGGAGACTGAAGCCCCATTGGGGGCTGCTGCGCCGGATTCCGCCGCGGACTCCGCGGGACAGAGCCGGAACTCGGACCAGGGCAAGCTCAGCACCTCACCTCCCAGGGAAACCGCATCCGCACCCGGGAGGGGCCCAGGGCCCAGGGCCCCGCCCCCCCGATCCCTCTCATCCCACGGCTGCTCGCCTGGAGAGCCGCCGATCCGCATCGGGCGTGCTGGCGCCCTGCGGGCAGAGCTCAGAGAACGCAGGCCAGCGCACCCTCGTTTCGATCGACGGTGCGGGGGCCTCCGGCGCCCGGGCCCCTCTGCGGGGCGGGACGCGGCGGCAGGGGCACGCCCTGGCCGGTGAGGGCAGCGAAGAACGCGTCCCGCATGATCGCGCGCTGCATGCGGCGCCGCTGCGTCTTCGTCTTCGGCTGGAACGCTGGAGCCTCCGAGCTGGTGCCCTCCCCCGAGCTCGGCAGCTGCACCAGGCGCGCAGGCCACGGGACCTCCTCCTCGGGGGGGTGCAGCACCACCCGCATCGGCCTGCCCAGGGCCTCGCCGTAGACGCTCCCCGTGGCCATGGCGCGCGGGTCGAAGCTCACGGGGGTCACGCGGCTGGGGGTACCCTCCTGGACGCACGGACAGCACACACACACACACCCGTACCCGTAGAGGGGTAGGAGGGAGGGGGACTGGCTATGGGGGTATGGGTGCGGGTTGTCGGACCCCAGGGAACGCTTCCGCTCGAGCGGGGACCCCCATCCGACAACACGCACCCATAGCCCCCCGCCCGTCCCCCCATTGGGTATGTGTGTGTTGTTCGCTCGTCGGTCCAGCCAGCCGCCAAGGTTGCACGTCAACATGGCTTGGCCGATCGAGCTCGAACGCTTGGTGATTCGGGGTCTCGGGGAGCCGTGCTCGAATGCAAAGGCCTCTCGTGCCAGAGCGGCTGTGGGGCCGCGAGCCGTGCCCCGTCACCCCTCTCAAGTAACACAACGCGGCGCACCACGCCGATGCCCCCATCGACACTTGCCCTTCTCGCTTGCGCTTCTCGACTCGCTGGCTGGGCTTTTCTGGGTTGTCGACTGGTGCCCACCCGCCTACTCCTCCTCCTCCTCCTCCTCCTCTTCCTCCTTCCCTCCTCCTCCTCCTCCTCCTCCTCCTCCTCCTCCTCCTCCTCCTCCTCCTCCTCCTCCTCCTCCTCCTCCTCCTCCTCCTCCTCCTCCTCCTCCTCCCTCCTCCCTCCTCTCCCTCCTCCTCCTCCTCCTCCTCCTCCTCCTCCCCTTCCACCGCGGGGCGCCCAGGAGGCGCCCACGGGCGCGTTCCAGAAACGCTGGCCCAACATTGTTTAAGGTTTCTTAATGACATGCTCGACTGTACATACGACTCTGCCCCATCGCCTATTTCCCAAATGTGTGCACACCATCCCAGCCAGGCAGGCATCGAGCCCCCCTTGCATCCCTGTCCCATGATACAATGCGCGCAGCGCTTGCACCAAAACTGCGCAATCACAAAAATCGGCACACTCGCAGAGCAAGACCTCCCCGCGCGCCTATTTGCGAGCAGGTGTTGAGCATGGGTTTGGAGCATTCGTCCAACGCATCCCGCCACGCGTGGCATCTGCGCTGACCCCGCATGCTCCCAGTGCACGCATCCGTACCGGATAATACCGTGCGGGCCACACGCGCGCGCCGTCACGCGAGCGTTTCGAACCTCCCCTTTTGAAAGGGGGGAGGGGGGGAGTGGGGGGGGGGTCCCCGACGACGGATCGAGGAAAGGGGAGGGGGGGGGTCCCCGACGACGGATCGGGGAAGGGAGGGAGGGAGGGGGTGTCCCCGACGACGGATCGAAGAAAGAGGGGGGGTCCCAATCCCCCCCCCCATCAACGCATTTCAATCGACAACGATTCAGACAGCTGGCGAAGTACAACCGAGGCGGTCTCAATCCCCGTCTTCACAGGAGACGACGATCTGCGTGAGCATTCCATACACAAGAACACGAGGCGAGATATGCAGGATCCGCGCTGCTCTATGCTCCGTCCTGCCTCCCAGGAGCCCACGAACATCGCGACGATTGCGCAGGTAGCACCCCCCGAAAGAGCCGCGAGACCTCGCCTCCATCCGCGCTGCCCACACAACCGCCGCGCCTCCCGGGAGCCCACGAAAAAAAACAGCGACGATTGCGCAGTTCGCAGCCCCCGCAGGAGCCGCGAGGTGGCGAAGTGATCTGCGCTGCCCTGACCTGAGCATCGTTCATCCGACCCCCATCCCCAGCGGCGTGGCCTGGGCCCCACTGGACGATTTACCCCCCCCTAGATGGGGACATAGGCCGTTCCCTTCGGGTTTCGAGCGGTGTATCCCCAATTGGGGTGGTGATTTGGTGGGGGTCTCAAAGAGGATGAGGATTGGGATGGGGGATGGGGGTCGGTTAAACGATACTGACTGATGACCTCCGCCGTGCCTCCCAGGAGCCCACGAAAGCGACGACCGTTGCAATTCGCAGCCCAGCGCCCAGGGGAGCCGCGAGGACCCGCCTGGACCCGCGCTGCCCTCGCCTCCGCCGTGCCTCCCAGGGAGCCCACGAGAACATTGTCGCAGTTCGCAGCTCCCCAGCGGAGCCGCGAAGTCTCGAAAGCGTGTGTGCGCGGCCCTCGCCATCCGCCGTGCCTCCCGGGGTGCCCGCGAAAGTGCAAACGAGCGCGGGGTGCGCAGCCCCCAATTAGGGAGCCGCGAGGCCTCCCCTGGACCCGTGCTGCCCGCACCTCCGCTGGAACTCGCGAGAGTGACGGCGACTGCGCCGGTCGCACCCTCCCCCCCCTGGGAGACGCGAGACATCGAAGTGGTCTGCGCTGCCCTCCCCTCCGCCGCGCCTCCCAGGAGCCAGCGAAAGCAACGACGATTCCGCAGTTCGCAGCACCTGAGGGAGCCGGGAGGCCTCGCCTTCATCCGCGCTGCCTCGCCTCCGCCGTGCCTCCCAGGAACACAAATGATCCCGGCAAAGCAACCTAACAGACATGTGTATAAACATATCTGGAAGGATTCCCTTTAATATTCAGGTGAGAATCCAGTTGAAGAATGCTGCTGTTCTCGCAGTCGCAGTCGCATTCGCAATGACAGTCGCAGTGGCAACTGCCTTAGGATCCAATGGAATCCTAAGGATTCCTAGGGATTCCTAAGGCATCCTTTGGCATCCTTAGGAAGCATAGGAATCCTTAGGAAACTTTAGGAATCCTTGGGAATCCTGATTCCTAGGGATTCCGAGGGATTCCTAAGGATTCCTAGGGAATCCTAAGGATTCCAAAGGATTCCTGAGGATGCTTAACTATGCCTACGGATTCGTAAGGATGCCAGAGGATTCCTAAGGATTCCTAGGGATTCCTATGGATTCCTACGGATGCCTCAGCCTGCCTCAGTTTCAGCCTCAGCCTCAGCCTGCCTCGGCTTGCCTCAGCCTCAGCCTCAGCCTGCCTCGGCCTCAGCCTCAGCCTGCCTCAGCCTAGCCTCAGCCTGCCTCGGCATCAGCCTGCGTTAGCCTCAGCCTCAGCCTGCCTCAGCCTCAGCCTGCCTCAGCCTCAGCCTGCCGCGGCCTCAGCCTCAGCCTCAGCCTCAGCCTGCCTCAGCCTCAGCCTGCCTCAGCCTCACCCTCAGCCTGTCTCAGCCTCAGCCTGCCTCAGCATCAGCCTCAGCCTCAGCCTCAGCCTGCCGCGGCTTGCCTCGGCCTCAGCCTCAGCCTGCCTCGGCCTCAGCCTCAGCCTCAGCCTGCCTCAGCCTCAGCCTGCCTCAGCTTCAGCCTACATCAGCCTCAGCCTCAGCCTGCCTCAGCCGCAGCTTGCCTCAACCTCAGCCACAGCCTCAGCCTCAGCCTCAGCCTGCCTCAGCTTCAGCCTCAGCCTCAGCCTGCCTCGGCTTCAGCCTCAGCCTCAGCCTCAGCCTGCCTCAGCCTCAGCGTCAGCCTCTCAGCCTCAGCCTGCATCAGCCTCAGCCTCAGACTCAGCCTGCCTCAGCCTCAGTCTCAGCCTGCCTCAGTCTCAGCCTGCCTCAGCCTCAGCCTCAGCCTGCCGCGGCCTCAGCCTGCGTCAGCCTCAGCCTTAGCCTGCCTCAGCCTCAGCCTGCCTCAGCCTCAGCCTCAGCCTGCCTCGGCGCGCCTCAGCCTCAGCCTCAGCCTGCCTCGGCCTCAGCCTGCCTCAGCTCGGGCATTCAAAATATGGCACACGATTGGTGTTCTGGGAACACGAAGGTCACGAAGTGGCCCACAGTTGGCTCCAGGCAATCAAGATATGCTACAGGAATGGTGTTCTGGGAACACGAAGGCACGAAGTGGCCCACAGTTGGCTCTGGGCAATTAAAATGTGGCCTGAGAATGGTGTTCTAGGAACACGAAAAACACGAAGTGGCCTCCAGTTGGGCCCGGGCATTCAAAACATGGCCCGGGTATAATGTTCTGGGAACACGAACAACACGAAGTGGCCTACAATTGGCCCCCGGCATTCAAAATGTGGTCTGGGAGTGGTGTTCTGGGAACACGAAGAACACGAAGTGGCCTACAGTTGGCTCCGGGCATTCAAAATGTGGCCTGAGGATTGTGTTCTGGGGAGTCCCCGGATCCTCCCCGGCACCCGCCCAAACCCCCCTTGGGAGTCGCGGGGAGTCCCCGGATTCTCCCCGGCATCCGCCCAGACCCCCCTGGGGAGTCAAGATGCTCTCTTTTGGGCCCACTAGAAACATATCAGTCTTCGCTGTTAAGTAAAAAACGATTGCGCAGTTCGCAACCCCGGACGGAACCGCAAGGTCTCAAAATGGCCCGCGCTGCTCTCACCTCCGCAGTGTTTCCCAGGAACCACCGAAAGTCGCCACAGTTGCGCAGGCAGCAGCCCCCCGGAAAGCCGCGAGGTCCCGAAACAATCGCCCACGGAAATTGCGAAATTCGCAAACCCAGCGCCCGAGGGAACCGCGAGGTCCCGAACATAACCGCGATGCCCTCACCCCCGCCGTGCTTCCAAGAACCCACGCAAGCGACGACGGATGCGCAGTTCGCAGCCCCCAAAGCCGGGAAGTTTCGCCTTCATCCGCGCTGCCCTCACCTCCGCCATGCCTCCCAGGAGTCCACGAAAGTGGCGACGATTCCGCAATTCGTAACCCCCGACGGAGATGCGCGGTCTCGAAGCGTTCCCCCTTCCAGGACACCCCACGAAACTGGCGACGGCTGCGCCGTTCGCAGCCCGATCCCCGAGGGAGCCACGAAGTCTCGAACGGATTTGCGTTGCCCTCACCTCCGCCGTGCCCTCCAGGAGCCCACGAAAGGTCGCGACATCTGCGCAGGTAGCAGCCCCCGAGAGAACGCACAGGATGCAGGGGGATATCGGAGGCAGGGCGGAGGAGAAGGAGGAGGAGGGGGAGGAGAAGGAGAAGGAGGAGGCGGAGGGGGATGAACTGGAGCGGGAACTCCAGGGAAACAGGAGGAGCAGAGCAACAACAATGATCCGATTAATCAACTCGCTGAGAGGCTACACCACCCTGCAGGCGTCTCAGGAAAACCAAAAGCGGATTAGGCGTTCGAGAACCGTTTGAGGGGTTCGAGAAGCAGTGGGGCCCTGCAGGGGAGATACATGTGGCAAAAGCGAGACCCCCTATTGGGGACACCGCGGGGGCTCGCCCATGCACTCCTTGACAGCGCAGGGCCGAGGGAACACGACGCGAAAACCTACACCAGCACAGCCCCAATCAGGACTCGCGGCGCGGGACCGCCCAGGCGTCCGAAGGCTTCGAATACCCGACGACTCGGCCTTCCCCCAGTTGGCTCTCGGTAAGGCGCAGCTGCCTGGGAGCCTCAAAGAGCGTCCGAAACTGGTCCAGACGAGGAACGCCTGCCTTGGGGGGATCTTAAAAAGACAACGACCTCCAGGGCACCTTGGGTGTATTTCAAGATGAGGGAGGAGGTCCGAGCCTGGAGGG